TACAGTGGCCCAATTTTTGAATAATATCAAGCGAGCGTCGACCGCCGGACGGCCAGTGCCGCGGAAAAATGCGGCGTCACGGGAGAGATTAAAGGGACCATGAAATGATTTTAAAATCTAATTTCATCCACCGCACGTCGTAAAAGGTGTGAAAAGAAACACAAAAACACAAAACTAGGGAGCCAAAAAAAATTATTTGCTATAGAACTTTTAAAAGAAAACTGGACTCTTTTGCGACTTCTTTCCTTCGAAAGATCTGCCTTTTCACTACGATGCATCCGCAGAAATGGAGCACGTCAGCCGAATCCACGTCGCCTATTGGGTAAGAGCCTACCTCACCAGCACCGCGATCGTAAACAATAAATAGCCGGCGAATGTTTCCTAAAAGTTTTGTTAAATAATATTCAGACCCACATTTTGTAGCATAATTAGAGATGTGTGGCGAAAATTGTCAAATTTGATAATGCTGAGAGCCAAGCGCCATCTATCGTGTGGTAAACGAAGCAACTACTGCGCGTGCGCAGTAGGGCAGGGCTGGCAGGGCCTTCCTCTCAAAACTCTGACTGACTGAACGTTTATTTTTCTACGTGTTCATCTCGCGCGTGCCGACTTCAAGCAGCAAGAAAAAAATGTACTTAAAACAGACCACGACGAACAAGAACGCTGGATCCACAAACACCCGAAATGAGCGACAACAGCCGCGAATCGCGCTCCGACGAAGCTCTCAGAATATAGGCCTAGCAGGCACTCCGACTCGGCGCAGCGTTGCTTCGTCGCAAGACCGTCTGTCTGCCTGCGACCGGCTGGCGTGCTGAATGGAATATGCCCGCGCTACCCTTGTGCACGGTACCCTTGTGGACCCTTCCCGTATAATAGTTTGATCGCTGACCTCAATTTTACGTTAAGAGGTGAGGTCAATCTCTTCCCCTTGTTTTCCGAGGCAGTGTTGACGAACACTCGTCGAAAAGGGACCCTCGTCGATTCTCTCTTCTTGTTTTGTGTGATATAGAGCTGAAATAAACGCTGTATGGATTACCTTCGTAACACGGTATGTACACTTTGTTATTGGTATGCCATTTTTATCCTGACAGACTGCACGTCACTGTCGAGCTGTAACAGTTCGTGAGAGGTATACGTGCAATACCGGTCCAACCTTTCTTTGCCGAGTGTCGCGTCAGTATCGAGTTGCAATCGTAAAAGATCGGTCCCGAAGCGCTTACCAACAGCGCGAATACAGTAAAACTTACCGGCGCACCCCAACTCGTCGCCGCTAATGCTCCCATCTCCTACTGCCGAGAGAAGTTCCGGTTCCGGAAATAGCGTACGTCACGGCTTGTTTTGCGGTCAAGAAAAAGTCGATATTTCATTAATTTTTTGTGTAGAAGTTAATAAACCGAGACGAAAACGGATGCCTGTTCGGCATTCAGTGAACATTGACGGTTTAATGTAAAAGTTATCTGGAAAAAGTAAAAAAGTCATTTCATGGTCCCTTTAAGCGCGTGCGCAGAAAGCCCTTTCTGGTGGGAGCGTCGTCTGCTAGGCTATACCGGTGACCCAAGGAGGTTATAATGGACAGGAGGTGGCGTCCCTATCCCCAATGCATGGAGCGAAGTGTAACGGAAGTAGGCGTGGCCACGAGCCGCAACGAGCATTTCTTGACCAATGGGAAGCCTAGTGAGTGGGCGCCGCCATTAACTTCGGTGCAAACAACCGCGTTGCCATGACATTTCCGCGGCAACGCGATTGTGTGCACCGAAAGTAATGGCCGCACCCACTGTTATTTGAAACAGCGCTTTAACGGGAGACTTTATTGGATGAGATTGTTATAAACGAACGCCTGGTTGCCCAGCAGAAAGTAAGTGACTAGAATTGAGACGCTCTAGACGACGCACCGTGAAAGACTTGGCGGTGCGCAACGCATTTTTTAATAAACAGCAGCAGCAGCAGCAGCAGATCGCACGAGCGCGCATGCAAGCCAGGAGCGCACAGAACAACGGGCTCGCGCTTCCAGTTCTGACTTCGCTCGCACATAATGTGGAACTAAGTATAAACACTCACGCTGCAAAGCATTTGCATCGTGGACGCCCCCGGCGGACGCCGACCGCATCGAAAGCTAGCCTCGTGAAGCACACGCCGGAGCAGATCAGAAAGCAGACGAACCGCCGGTGCGGAACCCCACAGTGGGTGCGCCACTGTGGGGTGCGCAAGGCAGTCTGGGATTAAACGCCTCTTCCGGCTTCACTCAGGCTGACGTCATGCCGGGTCCTGTCTGTTTAAACGTCCTTGCGGTGACCGCACACAGCCCCTGCTCCGTAGCAAAGGAGGGCAGGGCGCTTGCAATGTCGAAGTGCATCGCCGATGCGCCCCTGCTCTTGGAATGCGTTAAAACTCCTATTGACGTTAGCGTGTGTAACCCCGACAGTTGTTGCTATATCCCTTTGCGTCATGCCGCCCATCGACATTCTCACAATACGTTCCCGTGTTTTTATGGGACCACGAGAAGGCATAAAAATGTGTGCGCGCGCCCGCTGGTCAAAGAAAACCGACTACCCGGCTACACAGGCCAGATGACGGCAGCAATAGCGCAGTTGATAATACAAAACACCAACACCAAGCCCAAGCGGAAACCCTGTCTATACTCCGTTTCTCTTTGTGTTGTACCGCAGCCGACGCTACGAGTTATCTTGGCCAGTCCATCGCTAAAAGTGAGTCACGTGGCCTTCCCGTTGAGTACAACTGCACGGGGAAGCACGATGTGACGTGGCGGCGTCAAAGCACAGGATTGGTTTTGATGCCTCGTAGAATTGTACAGTTTAATGCACCGTTGCATTGTCGCGTCACCGTATTTTTCATTTTTGTTAGTGTTCACAAGAGTGAACGCAAACATGAAATAAACAAAAAAAAAAGTAAATTAAACTCAAGATGACACGCGGTTTTTGCCTCGGCCTCGCCTGAGCACTATCACGAAAGCAAGCGCTGTTCCTGTTCAGTTCTTTGCTTAAAGGCGGTTAGCTATGCCGGCAGATAATGAACAGGGGCTGTGTGCGGTCCACGGAATAGCCTAGCAGACGACGCTCGCAACAGAAAGAGCTTTGTGCGCACACGCTTAATCTCTCCCGCGACGCCGCATTTTTCCGCGGTACAGCGCTGGCCATCCCGGCGGTCGACGCTCGCTTGATATTAAAAAAATTGGGCCACTGTACATGCACCTCACTTTTAAAGGGAAGATGGGGCACTTCTGCATTTGAGAAAAAAACAAAAAAAAAACACTTGTATGGCGTTCATTTGGCCTTTAGAATAACAGATTTAATAATTAAGTTTCAATGCAACGCGCCGGAGAGCCATAGGAGCAATTTCAAAATAGGGTTGAAGCCCCGCCTCTCGCCTGGGGCAGCCAAAAGATCCGTCGATGACGTCACGTACAGCGACTGTCTTTCGAGTTTTTCTCGCGTTTAACAATACTTGCGCAGCAAATGGTTTGGGTATTAGGGTCCACGGGGTAAAATACATCAGACTTCACTTCTTATTTTTCTCAAGAACCTCTATACCTTCCCTTTCATGATACAAACTCCCTTTTACAGACAGTCAGATGAAACCACCTCGGTTTCAGTGAGGATAATAACCAAGCCGCATCTCCTACGCCTTGAGGAATGTCATAGTAGGCACGCACGGTCACACATTTGATGCAGCAAAAATCTACCAAAAATGATGTCCGACTTAATGGTTACATATCTCACGTGCGCACTAAATAAACACTAATCCAGTCCTCGGCGCGGTTACGGCGCTAACGCTTGCAGTTCTAAGCACGCAGTTCTGTCTAGGTCCGAGCGAGCCAAAGGCAAAACAATAAGAGCTAACAATGTAGCGCTGCGCATTGAAACTTGCTACCCAACTCGCTGAAACACCACCACCACTCCGATTTACTCTGATCCCGCCACTCTGTGGATGTCCCCCGAACGCTTAAATAAGAAAAAAAAACTTATAAATTGAACATTTCATTTATTTGTATGAATAAACTGCAGTGGATCCTTCAAAGCATGCAAAATAAGCCCCAAGAGCACAACGGCCCTCCGTTGAAAATCTGCGAGAAACCCCTCTCAGTCAGTTGAGCCAGTCGCCCACCGCAGATTGAACCTTCCCTATGCACAATTTGTTTATCACTTATCTAGAGCGGTGTTCCGTGTTCGGGAGACTCCTGCCATTCCGAAGCTTTCCCGCAAAGACTGCTCAGGACCTTGTCAGACCTCTTCCTTTCATGTTGCGGTAGGCCTGTTCGAATCTTTGAGCTCAATATTGCTTCAAATAGCGTACTATCCGGTTCGATCATTGCATAAAACATTAACAATACTTGACAGTTGGCTTCGAATTGTGCGGTTGAAACTCGCCTAACTGTCAAGTATTGTTAATGTTTTATGCAATGATCGAACCGGATATAGTACGCTATTTGAAGCAATATTGAGCTCAAAGATTCGAACAGGCCTACCGCAACATGAAAGGAAGAGGTCTGACAAGGTCCTGAGCGAGTCATTGGTATTACAATCGAGAAAGAAATCGGATTTCTCACATTTTTAAAAATCATGTTAAATCAGCCTCAGCGGGCGTCTGTTCTCTGCTGTAGACGAGAAATTTAGCTAGTGAAGTACCGCTGCCAGCCTGGGATCTTCAGTGTGCAACATACTGTGGTGATACACGACCGCACGCCGGTGCCAAGCAGGGGAGGGGATAGGACCCATGGTACCCATGTTCCACAGAGCAAGTTTACGGCCCACATACTCCGAGCTACATCACGTTTTTGGCGAAATGCAACACAGTGTACGGAGGTAACCACTTGTCAGAGACCTTCGTCCGACATTTGAGAACCAATTTAACGCAGCAAACACCTGGACAATCTTCAGTCGTAGCAGGTCGGCCGCAAAAAAGTCTGAGCAGGTCGGCCGCAAAAAGTGACAAAGCCGAGGTACGAATGAACAAACTTTTAATTGCGAATCTGTACAGTAAAAATGAAGGACGACAGTTCGAGATTGCCGAATAATTTGCAAGGGTCACATACCAGTACGAGACTTATAAAAAGGTACCCCGAAAAAGGAATACTTTGAACAAAAGCGAGGTCAACGTCGGACGTGGACACGTGAAGACTGGGCGGCTAGGTACTGTTTTTTGAGGAGCGCAAACACATCTTGCAAGACTAAAAATATTGAATACTCTGGGAAACTCTGATAATATAAGCAACTTGATGTAGCGGGTCCATGCACGGTTAAACAAGACTCAAGTGCAGGCTAGCGTGAGGCATGACAGTGGAAACTGGCACTATAGGTTTAGCTTTCTATTAAAAAAATGCTGCCCACACACACAAAAAAAACAAAAAAAAAACACCAAGAAGCACATTCTAACACAAACGAGTTTTGAAGTAGTGAACACTTCCGCTGGGATCCAAGACAAAGGTAAAGAGCGCTTGCAGAGGCTACACAACTAAACGATGACAAACCCAATACAAATTATGAGCTTTTACTCTACACCTTCGAAGCATGCACTGCAATCGTAGATTGCAGTGCATGCTACGAAAAATCACAGCCAATCGAGCACTGGATTTTCTCCGATGGATCGTAGCAGCTGCTGTGGTCCACCTCAAGATGGAAAGGAGAGAAAAACTGCACATTCCATGTCAAACAGAGAAATTAAATGGGGCTCTACGTCCAACAGTCGAAAAAGGTTTCTGTTGAAGGACTTCGACAGTTACGCTGTATTAAGAAGCTTGTAGAAAAATCTAGCGGGCAAAACATCAAGCAGTTTACACAGAGTGTAACCAGAAACTTTGAAAAAATATTTAGAATCTGAACTCACTGCCATGATTGCGGAGGAGGTGAAATGTTATTTCTGTTAGCAGTGCAATTACCTTGGCAATTATTAACATCAACGATTGCGTACAAGTGTGCACACCCGAGAACACTGCAACTGCTAAAATCGCGAGTGGAGGGAAATGATTGACAAGATCCATATTCTCTTGACAAAGAAAATCTAGAGACTAACCCCAAACACATTAGCCTTGCGTGCGACGTTTTTGATTAGCATATATCATTCAACAACCAGTGCAACCACTAAACTGTCCAAACGCAACAATTTCAGCTGAGCCGTTTAAAAACCAAGCATAAATATGGTGCTCCGATGTAACACACAATAAATTCAAACAAAATTGTGAAAAAAAGTCTTTTTTTGTTTGCTGCAGGTTGCTGCCAGGGCTGCAGAATGATGTCCTCCTGAAACCTATTGCAGTGATGTTGCAACACCCTTTTTCTAAAGCGATAAAGGTTTAAAAACTGAACGTTTCATCTCAAACACAGAAAAAAAGTTTGGAAAAACCATAGCAAACACCACGCAGGGTTTGCTGCAAGTAATCTGGTTCCCCTGTCCACAAAACTAAACTAACAAACACAACGAACAAGACAGGCACTTTAATGTAACAGGATGTAGGTTACATACGTCATGAATCGACAGCAACAAAAGCACGCACACAAAGGGGTTAGAATATGAAGTTAACAAGTTACAGAAATGCTTTAGACAGGTGATGTGGGGACACGTTAAGCTATTTTTTTCTTTCTTTCTACCTATGATAAATGCAAAGACGAAGATCACGAAAAAAATATGCCGGCAAAAAATGCGCCTGCAAAATAGGTTCAGGACTATGCCGATGTCTTGAAATGTTGATGTCCGATAAAGAAAAAAAAAGGATAAAAAAATTGCAGTCACAAACACATGGGTCAAGAAAGAGGGACAGAGAAAGGCAAAAGGAATATAACCAATAAAATAAATGGCATTAAGTTTCCGCCACTCGACTGACTTTTTCATTTTTTTTTCTTGCCGCTTTACATCACGCAGCAGTGGTTGGGGTCGTTGGGATCCTGCAAAGGCCGCAAAAAGCAAACGTCAATATGTGAAAAAACCGCAAAAAACTCACGTAGTCTTTTTTTGCGACAAACTTCCTTGACTAGAGTTCCTCGGTATTCCTGGGCTAGTGGCAGTATATAACCGGAATCAAAGTGCCAGCAGAACATGGGCCAAAGTAACACCTACCGACAAGAAATGCATGCCCTCATGCACATTAAAGCAATCAAAAAGTTTAAAACATGTTGCAATGAACTACGTCCAACATCGCTGTACCAACACCAACACCATAGCCACTCGCAGCCCAAGAAATGCAGAATGGCTTATTATATTCAAAGCTTTCGCAAAAACAAAATCTTAAAGGGAAAAAAGAAGCATCTGTGCTAGGTACCAGTAACAGTGCAGCTAACCCTGGTTTGACGAGCACTGTCGGTTATGACAGGCCCTACAAAGTTCGTGAATTTCACGGCGTGCAACGAGCCTTCTCAACACCAATGCGTTTTCACAGCAAGGACAACAACCGTAACAGACCGATCTCGCCAAGTGTTCGGCGCATGCGCGACGTTGTCAGAACTTGAGTTCGCGGGAGGCAGACGGCGGTGCAGGGGAGGGCTCGGGCCGTCTCGACGCTGCGCACATGCAGAGTTCCGGCGAAGCTGTCGTCTGTGCTGACAAAGTTCACTCGATGCTGTAAAGTCATACCGTCCGGCGAGATCGGTCTATTACAGTAAAAGCTCGTTAATCCGAATTTCGAGGGGGCTGCTGAAACAGTCCGAACGATACAAACTTTCAATTGATGAAAGTCGACGAAGAGAAAAGAGCCCCGTCCGACGTTGGGTATACTAGAATGCTCTCAACCGCCAGAGGCGTGCAAGTCCGCTGCTGCAGAGACCGAAATGCCAGTTTAGCCAGCACGAACCAAAATAATCAAGGCCTGCCAACAGCCTCCACGCAAAGTTATCGCGCCCGGATAGCGCCCGATCGGCAACTGGACCCGAGCAAATAGCTCGGTGCGACGTCGAAACACTAGCACATGGGCTTTGAACACTACAGGTTGTGTTGCTTTATTCCTCCGAAACTGGATGTATCAAACATTCTAAACTTGACAAACCCCTCTTGGTTCTGGCATTAAAGGGGCGCTAAACCACTTTGTACGGTAGTCTTTGTGCCAACTCAATCTACAGGCACTAAAGATACTTAAAAATAAATTACATTTATATGTAGCAGGTTAAAAAAAATTAAAATAGGATTCAAAGGTCATTTGCCTCAGAACTATCACACGCCGGAGGCACAGTCGGAGGAAAATAAGCTGTTGTCCGACGGCGGCCTCTGGTTTTGGTGATAGTTCCGGGGTAATCAACCTTTAATACCGATCTCATTAGAGGAATCGCCACGCATGAATGTGATGTTTGGTTTCTTAGTACGCTTAGAGCCCATAGATTGAGGTAGGGTCATAGACTATCGCGGAACATGATTTAGTGCCCCTGGAATGCGATGAAGCAGTAAACAAGCGTACAATGTAAACAATACATATATAAGCGAGTGTTCACCTCATTGTCACGCGTTAATTAGTTGCTTCGGTCTGCCACGACAAGTCTTAAAAGGGAGAACAACTACCTTGCGCGCTTTCACGTGCTGTACCATCAAGGGCATCTGTCACGCCCCTGCGGAGAATTGAGGATTAATTTCGACCACTTTCTTTCAAAGTGGAACCACCCCTATCGGAATTCAAACTTGCTGGGGCACTCTCTGGAAACCCTCCTGGGTCCCCGGAACCCAGTTTAAATTTTTGTATATATATATGCTCTTAGAAAAAAGTTTCCAATTGTTTTAATGCATTTTTGTTTCCTGCATAGATTAAGAAGCCATGCCCCATTGAAGAAACCGAAGAAAAGAAGAGGCAGGGTACTCACGTGCTCGTGGAGAAGGTGCTCACGCCCCGTCCAATATCCTCCCGCGCCGGACGACCTTTCCGAGAGGCGCGTGAACTGACGCCGCCGGTTTTCCCGAAAGGCCACCTGGGGGCGCAACGAAAGTGAGCGTCAACTCGTCAGCCGTAACATGCCGCAAAAACACTAGAGTTGCGGTTACGCTGCTAATCCATTGTCAGAAAAACCTGAAAAAGTTGAGGAATTTCAAAATAATTTGCTAGACACCCTGTATTCAATACTTCTTAGCACTTGCGGTACAAACCGCAAGTGCTGGGAAGACTCGGCAGACAACGTCCGAGGCACTTACTGTCTCGTCACGTGGGTCATAAAAAATAGTCTGCAGACACGTTCGAAGCATGCATATGTGTTAAACAAATGTGCTTCGAACGTGCCCGAGACGTGCCTGCAGATAATTTGTCAAAATGGTGTGCAGCAGGCAGTGTCATTTGTATCGTGCACGAGCAACGAGACTGCGGCCAAGGGCTTCAATGCGGCCCAGAACTTCAATGCGGCCAAGAACTTCAATGCGGCCAAGAACTTCAATGCGGCCAAGAACTTCAATGCGGCCAAGAACTTCAATGCGGCCAAGAACTTCAATGCGGCCAAGAACTTCAATGCGGCCAAGAACTTCAATGCGGCCAAGAACTTCAATGCGGCCAAGAACTTCAATGCGGCCAAGAACTTCAATGCGGCCAAGAACTTCAATGCGGCCAAGAACTTCAATGCGGCCAAGAACTTCAATGCGGCCAAGAACTTCAATGCGGCCAAGAACTTCAATGCGGCCAAGAACTTCAATGCGGCCAAGAACTTCAATGCGGCCAAGAACTTCAATGCGGCCAAGAACTTCAATGCGGCCAAGAACTTCAATGCGGCCAAGAACTTCAATGCGGCCAAGAACTTCAATGCGGCCAAGAACTTCAATGCGGCCAAGAACTTCAATGCGGCCAAGAACTTCAATGCGGCCAAGAACTTCAATGCGGCCAAGAACTTCAATGCGGCCAAGAACTTCAATGCGGCCAAGAACTTCAATGCGGCCAAGAACTTCAATGCGGCCAAGAACTTCAATGCGGCCAAGAACTTCAATGCGGCCAAGAACTTCAATGCGGCCAAGAACTTCAATGCGGCCAAGAACTTCAATGCGGCCAAGAACTTCAATGCGGCCAAGAACTTCAATGCGGCCAAGAACTTCAATGCGGCCAAGAACTTCAATGCGGCCAAGAACTTCAATGCGGCCAAGAACTTCAATGCGGCCAAGAACTTCAATGCGGCCAAGAACTTCAATGCGGCCAAGAACTTCAATGCGGCCAAGAACTTCAATGCGGCCAAGAACTTCAATGCGGCCAAGAACTTCAATGCGGTCAAGGGCTTCAATGCGGTCAAGGGCTTCAATGCGGTCAAGGGCTTCAATGCGGTCAAGGGCTTCAACATGACAGCAAAAGACATTCGAGGGTCATTTCCATACGATTACCGCAGCAAAGAAGCCGCCCCGCAAGGCCACCGCCGCATGTGTACGACCGTGAGTACACGTACGAAACCTCATTCCCCTAAATGCAGAATCGCGTACGCAGGTGCTGACATCGAGGTTTTTTTTATAACTATTAGAGGTTTTATTTGCAGCGCTTCACTTTGCTGGAACGTAAACTAGGTTTGTACCGCAAGTGCTGGGAAGTATTGAATACAGGGTGTCTAGCAAATTATTTTGAAATTCCTCAACTTGTTCAGGTTTTTCTGACAAATTCAGGTGAAATTCCCTGACCACTGTAGAGGCGATTAAATATTTAGGACCATTACAACACGAGGTAATGAGCATTGAGCACTGTGAGGATAATTTTGCACGGGCTTCGTGTCGTGCCCTCAATATAATACAACCCAATCCAAGGCTTCGACTGGGTTTGTCGGCTGTTCCCTTTGCATCGGGTAGCACAGTCTACATCGGGTGAGCAGAGACCGCGCTCCGCTCTAAGCAGAATTTATTGCCCATTTTTCTGCACCCAAGTCTTCAAGTCTTTGCTCAGGGCACTCGATGGCGTTTTCGGCTCGTTTTCCCCGACTGGGCTCGATTTTTTGACAGTATTCCTAAAACTTCCCCAAGTTTTCATGGTAATTAAAACTTCCCTGACAATTCCCGGTTTTCCCAGTCGCTAGACTACCTGCGAGTAGAACTTTACTGTGCAATACCTGAAATTGCACAGGGAGATTTTTTATTTTGGGAACAAATCTTTATTAAAACTAAAGTGGCACGACTCTCGATCAATAATGCTACATGCACCATACATCATAGCATGTTTGATGTATGATGCAACGACAGGATGGTTAGGATGTATGGATGTGTACATTGAATCCATCGGATGGATGGATAAATGGACAAATACGGCTGAACCAAGGAGTCTGGCAGCAGCTTGCGCCACCTGGTATATGAAATAGCCAAGGTTGTCGACAGACTTCGCTTTCTGCTAAATCTAGCGCCACCGTGATCTTTTGCAGAGCGTAGCGCAGTTTGTCAGTTTCACGCTTTTAGTGCCGCCAGGCGCAGGAAATTTGAATGTATCAAAATGGCACAATTGGTGCAGCTGTCCCGCCCCTGCAATTATAAAGCCCAGGGACAACTAGAAAAGTTTTAAAGCAATAGATGGAGATAGATAGAATCACAGCAAGTGTCAGCCCCTCAGAACAGCAACCAGACACTGCTAGAGAAATGTCGGGAAAAGCTGATTGTAAAAGTCACTTCTGAACTACATGCCGACTGAAGAAAGACCGAGCAATGGTTATTCTGGGTGTGGAATCAAAGATAAATCAAGCAGTGTTCACCAAAAAAGGACACAATACCACAATTCAGAGGGAAAAACAAAGATTGTACCCTTTAATTTCACACACAGATGACAGCTTACATGCACGCGTGTTATGAATAACTATTTTCCCTTCTGGTACCGTGAAACCCTTCATTTTCGCGGCCCCGAGTTTTCGACAATTGGACTGCGGGGTCACATTTGCGACCATTAAATTTCGCGATTTCTGAAGGCTGGAATTTACCAATAGAAACCACTAAACTAAAACCACTAAAACCAATTTTACAATTCGCGTATTTCGCAAAAATTAGAGGCTCCCAAACATTAAGGCTTTAACTGGTTAGGAATGACGAAGCAAAAAGCTGCTTAACAGGTTTTCACACAAAATCAACGGGCGGGCAATACAAAGGTTTTTCTAAAGAGAGCTCTAGATGACTTCCTTTAATTTTAATTTATCTGGCTATCAGAGGTAGTAACTGAACGAGAAATTGCACAATAAAATTACACCTATAGTGCAGCCCAGCTACAATGGCAAAACACTACACCGAAGGCGCTCACCTCCTCCCCATCAGCGCTGAGCAGGGCTGTGCGCATCTGTTCACCGTGGGGCCACTGCTGGTTGCGCATGACCAGGTCCGACGGAGCGCTGTGAGCTGCACCGGCGTCGGAGCTCCATACCTGCACAGCATCCCAACTTCAGATGAGTCGTGGTCATCTCACCGCAAAGGAGGTATACTCCAGCAAGAATGTGGGCAAGCTGGTTTAAAGAGAAGCTAAAAAGAAAGTAAGAGTACAGTAAGACAAAAAAAAGTTTTAATGTAGGCATTTTAAAAAATGATGTCTAAGTTTCCTTTCGATCTTATTACTAGGAGTGTCAAAATCGCTAATTAATATTTCGACGTAGCCCTGCCCGTCTTTGCATGCCGAGAGCAGGAGAGCGCGAGGGCGAATAGAAAAAAACAAATCAGGAGTCCCGCGTTGATCCACAGTAGAGTCGCAGTGACAGCCGCGAAACGACATGGCGAAGTTGTTGGGCACTGGCGTCGCGTTCACACACCGTGGGGTGCGTGAACAAAAGAGTACAAAACGAAATAGGCATCCGATTATTTTGTTTCGAAAAACGCTCATTTCCTTTTTGTTCCGGATAGCGTAAAAGCGCTTTCCCCGGCATGAGCTCTTGGCATTGACAGTGCTACAACGGCCTTCTGCTATCGGCTATTTTTTTTTTGTCTTTTCCAGAGAGCGCGTGCGGTGGGCGTTGGGTGCTACAAAAGCCTCCGGCATAGAGCAGGTTGTTGATGCTGTGGCATCAACAACTCCGCTCCGCACGGAACGGACCCGGGTTTGATGCCCGTGGGCGGCGAGCAATCTTTTTTGAAGATTTTGCAACACTGGCAACGGACGTCCTACATTGCCAACAACAATTGAGATTATTTCAAGCGGTGGCAAGAACCCACAACAGTTATCGCTGCGAGACTAACAAAAGTGACCTCATCGAAAGGGTCGAATGACTGCTCGGCTCTGTGCAGGCGCAGGGAGGACGACTATAACGTCGCAATGTCTTCGACGGATAACAGCTGGCGGCAAGGCTCGCCACATGCCCTACAGCAATCGCTGCACGTACATTTCAAAATATATGCGGTTTACGTTTACTTTTGCCCAAAAGCGCGATGACTGGATTCGTGATACAAAAAGCTAGAATAGAAAACCGCTCCAAACTGTTTTTTTTTTCAAGGCGCTTCAGGTTTTTGGAGAAGGGCATAATAAAACCTGGTGCGAGGGAAAGGGCATAAAACCTGGTGTTCGGTCTTCCTTGGCCAGTCTTCCCCTCACCCTGGGATTTACAGTGTCTGCCTAGTCTGTTTACGAGGACGAAAAAAAAATGTTATGATAGGGTTTCTATTGGTACTTCAATTGCCACTACCAGCACTATGGGCTTATGATATAGGGGAAAGTAGCAATTTACTATAGGAATAGCTACACATACCAAAAAGATTTTACTTTCCTCGACCCAGGCCTATGTAAAGCAGGCACACACATAAAGAATTGGTGAAGTTCAAAGCCAATAGCGGTTTTGGCAGAATAATTTCTAACCGATTATCGCATAGTTTCTTCGAGCCTTTTACTAGTGATGGACCGAATATGCCGAAATTCAAATTCGGCAAAGTTCGGCAAAGATTCGGCAAAACTTCGGAAAATGTCTGCGCACGCGCGAGAACGCGACGGAGCCTTGGATTGCAAATGAACGCTGTGCGGTCGTGCGGTTACCATCGTGCAGCGTAGTACAACCAGCGGTTACGCCGCGGTGTGGGGTAGGCAACACGGTAACTGCGTTTGTGACCAAGTGTAATGCTCGACGTTGCACATTCGACATTCACTCTCCCTATCTTCCGAAAAGTTCGTGTATTCATAAACACCAGAAACCGGTATTTTAAAGTTTTAAAACGAGTCGTTGTGAATAAAGGAAGCACACTTTCATGCAAAGCTGACTTCAAGTGACTCAGCAACCGTTGCATTCGTTTTCCCGCACAAAACGGTGGCTCCCAGAGAAAGCAAGAACGCAGCGTTGTTGCCTTCATTTTAGCAATGTACACACATGCAGGCCTGCGCTGATGATACCTTAAAACCGAAACTCTCACAGCGTGATTCGTGACTGCGCCACGTTCGCTTCTACCCAACCTCGCTGTCACGCCACTCCTGCAAGGAGTCACTAAAATTGCCAGTAAACACACAAATACGACATATAATGCATATAAGCCCAGTTATTACTAAATAAGATGGTATTCTACAAGATAGTTGTATCGGTGTCGTTTTTAAGTTAAGAAAAACAAAACAAACTTTTTTTTTTGACAAGAAAAACTAAATATCAGCGTTAAGCTTGGTAACAATGTATCGAATCGAAAGTTCGGCACCAAACTTTCGATTGGGCAAAAGTTTGGCCCATCACTACCTTTTACTACAGTTTTACCATGCTTAAACGAAAATTCAGCTGAACTCGAGAAGGTTGCTCCCAACCTTCACTTGTCCCCTTCTAAGCTTTGTTAGTTTTAATGTAACTATATCCGTGAACCATGGCCTCAGAAAGTCCAATGCCGACATCGGGTGGCACTAGAAAACGACCGATTTGATGCAAAATTAAACCCAAAGAGACACCGAGCCATCCTCATTGAGCGAATTTATAAATCAGCTCGATACACGAACATTCTTTGTTTATTCTTAATCCTCCACAAAAAAAAAAAAACAAAAACAAAAAAAAAAAAAAATAAAAAAATAAACCCGAATAATGAAAGCAGTTTGTCAGGACTGTAATGCCTGCGTCATTGCAGTAGGTTAGTCCTATCGAGTGCGCTTCCAACCGAGCACCCGCGTACAGCCGAAAAGCAATGCCCGCGAGCTTCGCGGGTACTGCTTTTCCGCAGCACACGGGTGCTCGGCAAGGAGTGCCCTCAACGGTGCCAGCCCCACCCCCGATGAACGAATGGCACGAATTAAGCGAAAACTCGCTCTTGAATTAAGCAGCTTAAAAATGCATCGAAAACATGGCAGGAAAACCAAAATATTTTAATTTACCCTAATTAAAAGGGAGTACGAAAATTTCGAGCTTGAATTATCGCGAGACCACTGTATGCTACGTTTCACTGCGAGTCCTACCACCGCCGACGCGACGATGCGACGAAGACAATCGAGCAGAGCCAAAAACGCGTCGTTACACCACTCCTTTTTGTGGATACGCCATCACCAACTTAACTAATCGCAAACAGAAAAAAAAAAGGGTGGGACCTCGGCGCATCCACTGCACGCGATTGGTGTAGCCGACGATGGCAGATGTGCAGATGTGCAAAGGCAACAAGTGCAGGGACAACGCGCTTTGGGCGCTGCTTGACCGGCACTGTAGGACGGTAGCGCAGCCTGTGGTCGGACTTAGAGATAAACGGAGTATAGCTTCGAAAGATGTCGCGACTGTAACTGCCCACAGAAAGTGGGCACGCCCATGAAAACGCAAGCCAGGGGGTATTTACGTCATTCCCTGTATGCAAGACTAAGTTCGAACTGACGAAAGCCTCGTTCTACTTTTATGAAACAAATGGAACCAGTGCCTTCGACGAAGGAAAACAATTCAAGAACTGCAACGCACCGTGATGGTGGTTCCCGGTTGGATGACGTGGGTCCGGTGGAACCGGAAGGTGAACTTATCGTTGCCGGAGTTCCGGTCGATCCGCCAGCCAGCCAATGGAACCTCCTGAAAAAACAATATCGAAGGTGCACTTGCAAGGATCAGCAAATGCGCGGTTCGACCGTCGCTTACGGGGAGTGGAGCCTGTTCCTGGGAGTATCGAGCCCGAAAATGAGAGCATCCCAAAAATTTCTCGCAAACCGTGTGGCCAGCTGAGCTGGCAATCTTGTACCGCAATTCGAAAAGCAAAGTCGAGCTCCAAATTGTTCACCGGAAACTTGCACAGGTTTCTATTTCATTTAGAGATTTTAAAATGCCGTGGAATGTTAAGTTAACCGAAAGTGAAGCTTCTGACCAGAGACACCAATTTTCTGCTCTAAAGGCTCCAAAATATTATTGAAGAAAAAATAAACCGAATGTCGCCACGTCACTCTTATCTTAAAAGCAGCGCCGCTCCGCGAAAGTACTGCGGCAAGCTACAAGCGCACAAATCCTGGAAACCTCACACTTCCGAGTATATCCGCTTGAGTTTGTTTCAGCCTTTGGTTGTGTTCAGACTTCCAACAGGACAATGTTAGGCTTTGTGCGATTCAAACATGATTTCCCTTTCATGTCACAGGTTTCCAAACATTGGCCTTACAGTTCCTAGATAACAAGGCTGCTGTCATGTCTGGGCGCGCCGCCGATAACGGAATAGCGTAGTACGGCGCATACGCCACTAAATGATAAAAAGCGGTGCTCCGCTGGCTACCGCTTTCTTTTGCTCAGTTACCCCCCATCCATAAGCATGGTGGAATAAACCTGTCCTTTCGCCTTTGGAAACCTGCTTGTTCCTCGCTTCAGGCCGACACACAACAGCTGCAGTGATGAATTCTAAACGCCGCCTAAAAAGGCAATCAAGTGCCACATCAGCGTCTGACGAAGACTTGTCTCCAATCGACGAGAACTTGAGAGTCGGATAAACGCCGTCGCAGCACTTGGGTCCACCCTATGCCCCCGCGTTTGTCCCTTCAGAAGACGTCGAAAATTCGGCACCACGGCCTTACCCAGGAGACGTCTAGGGGGCTTTAGATGGCAGAAGAGAGCGACGTTTACCAACCTTCGTGCCCTTGTTCTTTACGATGACGTATTTTCCGTCTGGGCAGTGATCGGAGATCTCCAGGTCCCCCTTGGCGGATGCGGAGACCTGGACGTCGGAGTTTGACTGCTCCTCCCGGTGGGAGAGGAAGGTCCGCTTGCGCTTGGTGCCTCGGAGCAGCGGACTGGTGCACATCTCAGCCCCGCTGGTAGATGCGCCTGAGAGGGACGAAATATCGTTCGCATCTCGCACGGTGTATCGCGTGTGGGAGGCACGGTTAACGCATCGCTCGCCTCCATTGCCCGCCCTTGACTGCGCTCGCTACACGACGAGCGAGTCTGACAAAATCCGTCCCTTTGCACGAAAGGGGAGGGGCATAAAAGCGAGGAGTCTTATTGCACACAAGAAAGGAGGTGCAAAAAAAATCAAAGGCAGCGTCCTCTGAATGGAGTTTGGTTTTTCGCCGTTAATGCGCGCTGAGCAATGTCGTCGGAACGACCACGACAATGCTGCTTTTACGCAGTTTACTTTTTACGGACGCTAGTGGTCATTGCGTTTTACAGTTCACGTTGTTTCCCCAAATATGTGTCTTCTACACTAGCAGTTTTGACGACATCCTTTTCGATTCTAAGAGAAAAAAAAATAGTAAAACCGGCTATCGCACGTCTGCGCCTACAATCCCGTGCCGGGATCCTCCGTGCAAAGAGCAGACAACGTAATGTGCAAGCCTTGTCTCCTGGGTGGTGTTGGTGCGGTGCCTGGAAAGTTTCCGCAAGGGCGATTGAAAAGTGGGAGAAAAAAATAGGGCGATATGTTAGGCGAGTTTCTTTCCCTGCGACGAGTCGGAGTTGCTACCAAAGGCTCGCCAACATCATTTTTACGCAATGCGTAAAGAGAACCACGACGGGCGAGGTTTCCCTGCTCATTTTGAAGTTCTTTGTGTGTAACAAAGCGTGACCAGCAACGTGGCCTTATCGGGACCACCACATTCCAAAGTGGCCAAAATGCATGGAACCTTTTCCTCTAGATCATTTTTTAAGAGTTAATATAATATTCCACGGGGAAAAGTCGCACGCATTTGGGCCGCTTTGGAATGGCTGTTCCCCAAGGACCCAGATCACTGGCAATCCCTTCAGACAAGCAAGAAAACACAGACGTATGACATTGTATAAAACTAAAAAGTTTACAAGCGCCCTAACGATTGTACTGGCAAAGCTCGGGCAACCTATTGTCTGCTCTCATTTTCCGCCCTTCTGTAGCTTTTTTTTCTCAATTCACTCGGGATTACTTACGCGAGCGCTTACGCAATTCGCCGCGTTCTGCTCCCATCGCGAACCCCCTCCCCGAGATCCTCACATCAACTCTACGAACTCACTGGGCGTAATGTGGAGCCGGGACTCTTCGCCCTCCAGGAGCTTGCGGTACGCGGCAATCTCGAGGTCCAGAGCCACCTTGATGTCCAGCAGGTCCTGGTACTCCCGCAGCTGGTCCTCGATCTCCGCCCGCAACTGGGAGATCTCTTCCTCCTTGGCCATCAGGGCCCGGCCGTGCCACTCCCGCTCCTGGTCCAGCAGACGCTCCAGGTCTCGCACACGGGCCGTCAGGGACAGGTTCTGCGGCGGGAAGACTCAAGTCACGGTCTCTTCCCAATCTTCCTACCGGGAGTCGTCCTGCGATTCCTGCCCTGGCCTGATCCGGCCTGGGGAGCTCCTCGGTCACAACAGCGTACAAAGCCCACGACATCATGAAATGGTCTTTCATTCCACCTTAACGTGATGGTCAAGCCGATTTCCCTCTCCTCCACAGGCTCTAAATGCCGAGAACAAACGAGTGGAAACAAGGTGACTACCAAGTAAATCGCATCTCGCACCGTCAATATTGCACTAAAGAAAATGTTTCGCAAAAAAAAAAAAATTTTTTTTTTACAGGCGTGTTATAAATTTACTTAAAGGAGCTCCGCAACAGTTTCAGTGCTTTGCTAAAATAATTTGGGAGTTGGTGTCTTGACCTGTCTGAAGTAAAGAAGAAAAACCGATTTTGCCTGCATGTCCTAGTTTTCATTTTAAAAATGGACAAAGATTGAGGTTTTCGGCACCTCTGAACTCATTGAACATCTTCCGAGTCACGTGCGCTGTGACGTCAATGGGGTTTGCGCGGGGTTCCGGTGAAGCTTCCTCTTTAGAGCCATCAGTGAGCAGCGAGAACTCATCCGCTCGCGACCGCGTGTCCACGTGCTGGCGGATGCAGCCAGTTCAACGCGAACAATATGGTGAAAGGAGGAAAGTTTTATCGGGGTACGGCCATCCCCGTTCGGTTCTGTTCCCCTCCCCCTCCGGCTTCTGGTGGCTGTTCGCGGTAGCAGATGGAGCTGACAGTTTTTGTGGACCTAGGATAGATGGCGTCACTAAAACTCCGTATAATAAAAGATTTGTCGATGATACCAAGTTTTTGACACATTTATATTTATGTTGAAACAACAAGATTTGTAAAAAAGTTACTTTTTATCGAGCAGGTATTCGCACAACTTGCCATCTTTCTAGAAGACACCCCACTGACGTCATGCCACGTGCTTCTCATGGCCGCCGCTCGCGGCTACAGGTCGGGGGATATTATAATTTTTACCTCGCGATTACGTGGCGGAACCGCAACATTTCGAAGGAAGGAGGTCTGTTTTCTGTTCTTTCTGACAAGATGAATAATCTGAAAAGTAGAAGATGCCAATTCTTTCAACGTTAAAAATCGTTGCACAACTCCTTGGGAAAAAAAAAAACAACGACAAAAAAACTATTTTCAGTTGCCCTTTAAGGTAATAAAATTAAATTAAATTTTAACAAAGCATTTCAGCCAATTGTACACGAGTTCAATTTAAACCAATGACGTTGGTACTACAAGTGTTGGAAAGAATTGCATTAAACTTTAGTGCAAAATATATCTCAAATCGCACATAGAAAGATATTTATTTTAGGAAAAAAAATTAATGAAAACCGAAGGGGCAAGACTCGGCAACACATTTGAGAGGCTACATTTTATACGTACATTATAGATGTATAATGTATGACGCAACAGTACGATGGCCAGGATGTATGATACATCGAATCCATCGGATGGATGGATTGACAGATATGGCTGAACCAAGGAATCGGGTGGCGGCTTGCAGCACCTGGCAACGAAATAGCCAAGGTTGTCGACGGAGGTTTCGCCATCCACTAAACGTAGCGTCGCCGTAATCTTCGGAGCAGCGCGGCACAATTACTGTACATTTCACGCTTTTGGCACCGCCAGGCACAGGAAATTTTGAATGTATCCGAATGGCACCGCTGTGCCACCCCTGGCAAGCTTCCGTGAACTGAAAAACTGGACAGCGACCTGCTGCACAACAGGAGTCGTGCCACATCCGCTGCTGCGACACCGCCACGACCGTGGAGGGCGACGATGATACACTTCTACGACGTCATCGCGTGGAAATAGAGGCCATTTGTTAGGACCTTGTAAAAAAACCGGTTAGAGATGACTGAGAAGAGAAGAAAGGGACAGGACGGAGGGCTTACTTACAACTGTCAATTTAATAGAGCATATAGAAAAAGACAAGGTGGAAGTGAAAAAGGAGAAGCGAAAGATAGAAATAACCTCTCAGCCGCCACTAAGACAAAATATATAGTTTTAATGACATGGATGCCGAGAGCACCATATCCCATGTCGGCACCTAGAGGAGAAGAAAATGCGTGCTACAGTCCATGCCAGGCGTCATGAGCAGTTGATTCAATGTGCAGCTAGAAAGTCTATCTTGAAGGCAAGAGTGAATCAACTGCAATGCTTATTACGCCTGGCATGGACTGTAGCGCGCCGACGTAGGATATGGTACTCTCAGCATCCATGTCATTACAACTTTGTCTTAAAGTATATTCTTAGAATAATGTTTATTTCTATTTTTAACCTAACCCGTCAACCCGGAGTTGTCCCCCAAACTGCTCAGTACGAGTGCAGCTCATCTGCCTCACCCACTGATCAAGCACTACGCATCTCTACATCGTAGAGTGCAGTACACCTCAGAGCTACAACTATGCAGAGTTTCCAACACAGAATTTGTTTGTGTTAGAAACTCTACATGGCTGTAACTCTGAGGGGTAGCGCGCTCAAGAAACCCCACGAAAAAATTCTTGAGAAACTGTTGTGGAGGACTGGCACGCAAATTTCCCCGCTAAATTTATGTGAAGAAATTTTCGACATGCAACAGATTTCTCCAAATTCAGCAGAGATACTGAGGTCGCACGATTGTCGTGATTTGACCCGACGTCCATCTTTCCGCCAAACATAGTGTGGAAAGCGATGCAGTGTCGTGTCAATTACCTCACTCAATTTACCAAGAAGATTTCAATGCAATGCAGTTTCAATTTCTTTGCGCTGGAAGTTTGCGCTCGATGCAATCTGTGACCCCAGGTCTTTGCCTGCACGATGGAGCCTGCGAAATCTATTCTAAGTCCCTAACCCCAACGAATTCTGCCCAAAAAGGAAGACGTCCCTCACCTGCGACTCGAGCTCCGAGATCTTGGAGTTGAGTCCCTCGAGGCGGGACTTGTACGCCCGCATCTCCTCCACCTTGCTGGAGCTGTCGCTGGAGCTCTGCTCGAGCAGGCTCTGCAGGTCACGCATCTTGTTCTCGTAGATGTTCTGCGTTTCCTCCCGGTTCAGCTGCATCTGCGATTCGTACTGTTCTCGCAGCTTCATCAGCGTGTCCGCCAGGCGCAGCTCGTAGCCCTCCTTCAGCCGCCCGTCGATCTCAGTGACCTCCGTCTGCTTGACCACGCGCACCTCCTGGAGCTGCAGCATTGAGCAATGGCACCCACGCCAGGGCAAGTTTAGGGGGGGGGGGGGGGGGGGGCATGGATGTCGTTCCCTTGAAGGGGTCCTCTAACATTTTCGTCGTAGTGCCATATTTACCTGGAAATTTGTTAAACACATCAACAAACATAACTGAAAAAATAACCCAAATATTGTGCAAAAAAAAAAAAAATTCCGCTATTGAACTTACAATTTTGATCCCCCCCTTGTTTTTCAAAGCGAGTCTACTGGTAACAATGAAGAGGTGACCTCAGGGGAAGGCAGGTGTTTGCTCTTTGGGCTGTAGACTATTTACAACAGATTAGTTTCATGGTGTCAAATGAATGCTTTGGAAGCTGGCTCCAGTCCTTGCCCAGCAGCACAGAACGAACGCTGGGCAAAGTCAATTCCTAGACTGCCCGCTCAACCTGCAAGCATGCTTTTCTCCCGATGTCACGGCATTGAAAAGCGAGGGTATATTTGAATCTTGGTTTTGGAGTTATTTTTATTTGTTGATTTCACAATAGCTATTAGGGGCGAAGCTCCTCAGGGTCTAGCCTTGTCCGTCTGTCCGGCCGGCGCCTGTGCTCACAAAAAGAAAACAGCGTTTGCGCAGTCGTCAGGATTCGAGCCTGTGTGGGGAGACCCCAATGGATTTCTAGTCCATCGCCTTAACCAGAGATGTGGTAGTAACACAAGACCTGGGGTTTATCATGGATGAAACGTTGCATGTAGCCGCTCAACGTCTATACAGGAGAGGGCGCTGCTGTCAGATGCGTATATAATCGCGTTAAACTTTGCATGCATTGGCTCAACCTTTATAGACGAGAGGGCGATGTGGTAAAATGCTCAAATACATATATAACCACGTTCCATACCAGATATTCTCTTTCTGACATGGACCGTTGACTCAAGCGGTGGAGATGCGTTCGGACGGCTTCTAGCGGATCAAGCTGACCTGCTAGAAGAACCACTGGCTCCGCATTTCACCGACCATAAAACAGTAATAATGAAGTCGAAACGCAACCCGGAACTCAGCACTATCTATGAATAAAATCAGTATCATAAGCACCACCAGAGCTTTGCCGCAGCCAACATCATTCACCACGTGAAGATGCGGTCATTTTTTCTGAATTTCGCGACACTGAATAGCATGCCGGAAAGGCTAGAGGCCAGCGATTGCAAAAATAGTTACTTGAAGTTGCAAAACAAAAAAACAAACAAAAATGCCGGAGTACTCTTTTGAAGGGACACTAAACCTAGGCAGTTTTCTTTTCTGTCTGGTTAGGACAGACATGTCTCAAAAGACTTTTGTAAAAAAAAAAAATGTTAATATTTATGCTGAGATACGAATTTTGACTCACGGGCAAAACCTAAATTGTACCGCTGTACGATGATAGTGTTTTCACTGAACTAGTATGCGCTCCTTGGTCCAGCAAACTGAGCGCGTACAAGCTGGGTACGAATGAACGGCCGATGGAAAGCATTGTTCTGTCGCCCGTTTAATTAGGGCATTCTTGGATTAATTTGTGAACCACTCTGGCCGATACATCAAATACCAAAAAATTCCTTGTGAACGTTCACCCAAAATAGAGATAACTTGTGGAAAGATGGGGTGGGCCATCTTTGGGATGCCACAGCAATTTTATCAAAAGTTAGCGACGAACACCAGGACTATAAAACATGCCACACGGAAAGCGTCACCACGAACCACGGATGCGGCAAGTTTGCGCTTCGCGATGCAATAAAAACGCGAGAATTCGCTACGAACTTTCTATCACGGGAAAGGATACCGTAGATTGTGGATGCAGCAGATTTGAGTTCCATAGTGCAATGACATGCAGTAGTCTGCTACAAACTTGCCCGCCACGGAAACCGGTGTCGTGATGAACACTTGTCTTTGTGTTTTTCTTTGCAGATTGCAGACAAAAAACGATAAAACGCATTACAAATGCGCTTGCCACACGTGCTAATCCCACAGATCGTGCAGTTGATGAGATTCTTGTCAACGGAAATTGCATCGACCGCGCGATCCGCGTGCGGTCGATGGAGTTTTTCCGACTATGAATATTTAGCTAGAAAAATTGGATGGGCTACCCCTCGAAAAAAGGGCATCTTCCAGGATTTTATGGAATCACATCACTAACATTAAAAATGAGAAGGTTTTTGAAATTAGTTTCTTGCATACTTTATTCACTAAATTCACGAGGTTGCCCATCAGGCTGAATTTTTGAAATTCACATGCAACGAAATTTTAAGAGCAATTTCGGGTCCTCCTTCCATATGCTCCCGATTGTCTGGAATTTTTAGAAACGTTCTAGGGAAGCACGCTTTCTCTGCGGCGTTTCATTCTGATGCTCACCTTCTCGTAGAGGGACTTCTGGAAATCGAGGTCTTCAGAGAGGGTCTTGGCCCCGTTCCGCAGCTCGACGTTCCGCAGCATCTCCGCCTCCAGCTCTTTGCGGAGCTTCTCAAGCTCCTTCGCCATGGCGTCCCGCTCTGCCTCCGCATCCTAAAAAGTGGACCAACAAAACAGATTTAAAGGGCCTTGCATCCGTTCTGGACCGTGGGCCGGAATATGGCACTGACTGTGGTCAAAAACAAAGACGAGTGCTGCCGTTGCCATCTGGTCAGCAACTGTACTCTTTTATTTAAAAGTATACTTTTAAGTTCCAGTTAGACTTCGCCTTTCTTGGAATGTACAATATCTATGTCTGCACAACCCGGAGTCTAGAAAACTACACATAGCTTTGTAATTTGCGAAGAAGATTGCAGAAAGATGAATATATACATCCATGCACATACTGTCACAAAGCTTACGCTTGAAAACTAAGACCATAAAAAAAAGAGGATATAGCTTGGTTTAGATGCTTTGTTCAAGGCAACGAGCGTGCATTAGCACTAATACGCAGGTCCTACCTCAATGAGCAGCCCCACCCTTACACATTAGAGGTGGTAGTGGGTGGGGGTGTTACTACACTACTTAATGCTCTACTCCATTTCGAGGGAGGGGGTTGTTACTGCATTAATTACTCCTTCCACTTTTTGAGGAGGGGTGGGGTGTTACCACACCATTTACTCCATCTACTCCATACTATTGCATCAAACCAAAAGCTGCACTCTGCCGAGACATTTTCTACCACAACCATGCTACCGTGTGACCAATGCCAACACCAGCGACCAAGGTCCGTGCAGGGTTTCCACGCAAGGCTGCCGCTCCAAAAGTTTAACAAAATCAAAGGCCACTCCAGAAGAGTGGTAGACGCAGCGCCAGTTACCTCCCACCACAACGAAAAGTAAGCCGTCGGAAAACTCAGCAAGCCGACCACGCAGAAGACAAACGACGGTTAACGTAAAAACCAGCGTTTGGCAGATTTCCTTACCTTGAGTTGTCCAAGGGCCTGATTCAGACGTCCCTGGAGGTCAACGTTTTGAGACTCGAGCGATGTGACCCGTCGCTCAGCTGCGGACCACTCGCGTTCTCGTTTGGCGAGTCTGACGGGATTAAAAAGTTGCAAGCAGATGCACGTCAGTGAACGGTGTTAGGCAAAAGGCTGCTTCGCACATTTATGTGTGAAGGCCCGTTCACACACTTGCGCTTGACTCCACAAGACCGGTTTTCAAGACTTTTCCGACGGCTCACGATCGGCTGCATTGCTGCGCATCCGGTCGTAAGCCGTTCCAAGAGGCTTAATTAAAACCCGGTCTTGTCTCAGTCGGTCCAAGTCAAGCGCAAGTGTCTGAACGGGCCTTGAGTGCAATCAACTGCGTATAACTAGACTGAAGGCTTGAAAGTGTTTGCGTGACCAGACCTACCCCAACTACGAGAAGTGGCTGCTCGCAGGATTCCCTCAAACACACGGTTAAAGATGGCTCTAAATAGCGGGCTTCCAAAAAGTATTAATCTGAAATCGGTCATGTTATGCGAGAAAAACCGAAGGATAGGTGACCACAGTACACAACTCAAAGCTAGTCCAATAAGCACTCAATGGCGTTTGTCTCAGTTTCGCTTCAGATCAATAGGGCTCATTAAAAAAAAAACTCAAGTTTATTATGTATACCCAATAAAATGCATGTCATCAGCGAGCCCCGACTGCAAGAAGTGCGTCTACAGTTACATATTCCGTTACACTTCAATTATGAAGAAAGTTGTCAGGGTGTCTAGCAAATTATATTTTGAAATTACCCGACTTCTCCGGATTTTCCCTGACAATTTCAGGTGAAATTCCCTGACCAATGTAGAGGCGAGTAAATATAAAAGATCATTACAACACAAGGCATTGAGCAATGAACACCGAGGATCATTTTGCACGGGCTCAACACAACTTGCATATTCCGAAATATTTGGGCTCGTCCAGTCCAGATTAAACGAGCACTTTCTTGCCGCCGACAAAGTCACTGAAGGGGCCACTTCCGGAAACACGATGAACACGAGGCTCAACGACACACATAAATAACCGAATGGCAGCATGACGGCACAGCCGCCAGATAAACACTTTCGGATACTTTCAGCTTAGATTGGATTGGGGTCTGCGGCTTTCCCATTTTTTACTAAATCTAGTAGCTATAACTGGATCTAGCCTAGTTTCGTGCCCTCAGTTTAATCCAATCCAAGGCTTGGAGTGGATTTGTCGGCTGTTCCCTTTGCATCGGGTAGCACACTCTACATGGGGTGAGCAGAGCCCGCGCTCCACTCTAAGCAGAATTCATTGCCTATTTTTCTTCGCCCAAGTCCTCAAGTCTATGCTCAGGACACTCGATGGCATTTCTGGCACATTTTCCCTGACCGGGCTCGCGTTTTTACAATATCCCTGACAATTCCCCGATTTTTTCAGTAACTAAAATTTTTCCGACAATTCCCGGTCGCTAGACACCCGGAAGTTGTCCATTAAATGCTGTAAACAGTAACAAGTGCAGGAACGCTAAGGAAGATTAGGTAAATATATGAGAATAAAAACGTTGAAACGGGGCTGTTCAATATCCCTCATATCTTTTTTTATTTGGGTAATAATTCACTATTGTAATGTGGTGCACGACAAAACTTTTTGGGTGAAATTACAATGTTAATTAGAGCCTAGTACGAGTACACTTACATGCTTCATTACGAACAGAACTGGAACACTACAAATGAATTCTGAAAGACCATTGAAAGATCAGCCCTCTACTGCATTGCCACATCTGTCGTTGTTAGGGGTAGATGCAATGGCAAGGAATCAACAACCCCGTTTGTAAGCTGGTTGATCGCAGGTGTTCGAAAGGTCAAAGCTAAAGTTGAACAAAGGTAAGAAACTAAATAAAAAAAGGACAAAGAATCATTGTTGGGACCTCCCAAAACTGGTTTTCATAGATCGAGCAACAGGTTTTGAATTTGTTTTACTTGGTTACGGAAGAGGCTGGCAGACTCAGGCCGAGCGAACGATCGAAGCCACCATAACCGCTTCACGGCCAGTGTAGGAAGAACCTTACCCAGGCAGATAACTTATCGCTAACTGCTAACAAAAGGAATGCCCTGTGATGAATAGCACAAAGGGAAGTGCCAATGCGGACATGACACAAGTCCAGATAATAGCTTCTTTTATTACTCTTTTGTACGCAGTATGCAATGTGTCATGTACTATTTCAGTTTTCCGACAAGTAGGAATACCACCCACTTCACACGGACATTGCTCCGGACAAGTTCATCTCAAAACTGCTAGCCAGTCTAGCTATTTCGCAAGCGTGGCTGCTACGTAATGGAAATAAATAAAAATGTACAAAGAAACCTAGAGCAACCACTATTATGTTTCTTGCGCGCAGTGCGAAACAGACAAACACACAAGAAAAGAAAACGGAGCGTGCTACGCTGAAAAGAGGCGTAGCGAAAGGGACACTGACGCCAAAACCGTCATTCCACAGCCGGCGACTGAATCATCAATGAAACCTGCACTTTTAAGTGGAGTTGTTCCGCTTCTACTCATTTCGTTTGTAACTGACACTACCCGAGGTGTGTGGGCTACAACGGATTCTTTCCAAGGTAAAAGCTGTCAGGTCATCACAGCTTTTGTACTTGGCTCAAAAGCGGCTTCGAAGAAGCAATTACACAAAACCCGCGATGAACAAAGAAAAAAAAAAGGGGGGGGGGGGGGGGAGAGAACACGACAAGTTGTGACGAATCGTTTATGCCCCGCTCTTTTTTTTTTCTTTCTTTCTTTTCTCTAGTTGCTTTAAAGTTCTAACATGTCTAGCTTTAACTAGCTAGCTTGTCATGACTCTGCCTCCAAGGCTCACGAAGCCGGTTAAAGATTTCGCAGTCACACCAACCGCCCCGCTTCGAAAAGACAGCTCGAGCGACGGACGCCTATAAGCCAGACAACGAAAGACCACGAGCCACAGCCGCTCGCCGAAGTGCATGGTTTAGAAATAGCCTCAAGAAAAAGAAATATGGGCTGGCTACTTACTTCGTTTGCAGTGTCTCGGCCTCTGTCTGCCACTTCTTGGCGTCGAGCTCCAGTTTGGCCTTCTCGTTTGCGGTCTGGTCGACGGTGCGGCGTGTGTCGGCAAGCTCACGGTCGTACAGGATTTTAACGCTGGCGACTTCCCGGGTGCGGGTCTCCTGGCTCATCTGTTTGGTCAACTTGCTGTTTTCGGACTCTAGGTGACGCACGCGGTCGATGTACGCTGCCAGCCGGTCGTTGAGGTGCACCAGCTCGTTCTTCTCCTGAATTCTCGAAACCCTGGACGCCGAGAGCGGCGAGCGCGAGCGTTCCCGACTCCCGCCGGTGTTGGTGTCCGACGAGGGAGATGTCCAAGGCGACGCCGGGTTCGCCGGGCTGTCCGCACGGTCTTGCTGTGAAACGTTCTGGGACGACGACGTCGTCGTCGTGGTCATCATGACTTGTTTGCGGACGCTGCGCGACGCCATTTCGGAGTTTGACGGACGTGCGAGATGCCAACTGTTCCTACAAACTTCGTCGGTTGAAGTGCTGTCCCTCGCAATATGTTCGCCGATGCCTCGCCTAATATAAACCGAGATGGCGGAGTGCCGCCGAAAAGGGCCACGTGACCTGTTACGCCAATCAATAGGTTAGTTTCGTATTCCGTGTATGCTCCATTTGCTGATTGGCTCTCAATTTTTAGGAGATCATTTTAGGGGTGTGCGGACCGAATCGAATGGCGCTGCGATTTGAACGGCACATGTATCGTATCTGGTATACCAAATAGCGCAGTGTCATTCGCAGCTTCAACATGCTGCATGTTAACAGAAACGGTTCTCCGGGTTTTTTTGTCTTGCGCCGTGAAAGATACGAATGATGCAGCGCTATTCGATTTGATACCAGCTTCTTGCACCACCACCGCCGCCGCTGCCGTGGTTGTATCGGTGAGGCAGATTCAAAATGACCTACTATACTTCGTCTCACCCTAAGATGGAATAAAGGCAGAAGCTACGAACTACCAGATCCAATCACGAGCCACTTAGAAATTGCCTGATATTTCGCTTCGATGAACGTTACTGAGTGACTCATCAGTTTTACATTTGAAAGAAAGCCACGACATACAGGCTCTTTGCAGTGCCGAAGCTATAGAAATCATGCACTGCATTTTGATAAGGAATATTATTCGTCCATTCTTAATCAATGTTAGGCATGTCATAGTTTAGCATGGAACGTGATTGGACCTTGTGGCACGTAGCTTTGGCCTTTAGTCCATCGTTGGATGAGACGAAGTATAACCTCAAACCGGAACGCAATTATGCACGTAACTTGCGGCTCGACTTTCAATGCAGCAATGGGCCTTTGGATGGATGGATGGATGAATCCGGCTGAGCCCTTTGGATCGGGCGGTAGCTTATGCCAGCTAGCCATTTTGTTTTACCATTTAAGCTTAGAATATTTAAATGTGAAATCTATATTCACTCATCACTGCAAAAAAAAAAAAAAAAAAAAAAAAAAGTGGGGCTATAAAACCCCCTTGCCATCAGTTAATAAGAAAATACCTAGTTTTCTCTCGCTTTCTGCCACCATTCACTTAATCTTTGCCTGGTAATCTCTACAGTCTTGAAATCCACTCTCCCCTCGCTGTCTCTAAAACCCAGTGACTTTATTAAATCCATGTTGTCTTCCGTAGGCATAGGGTGAAGCCCTTTACAGTAGAGTATCAAGTGCTCAGCCGTCTCGTCCTCCTCTCCACAAGCAGTGCACACTATATCCATTTCCTGGTACCTCGCTCTGTATGTTCTGGTTCGCAGAACACCCGTCCTCGCCTCAAACAACAATGAGCTTCCCCTAGAATTGTCATAGATGCTTTCTTTGGCAATAACTGTTTTGTTTGATCTATAGCTTTCCAGAGCCGTCTTTGTCTGCATTCCGTCTAGCCACCGATCTCTTTCTGTGGCCTTAACTTTCTTCTTAACTGAGACCTGCTCTTCCGTATCTCCACTATAGCCTAAAAACTTTCCTCTTAATTTCCTACTGCGCTGTCTCCAATTTGTGTCTATGCTCCTCATGTATAAATAGCTGAAAACTTTTTGAGCCCATTGGTCCCCATCCATTTGCCTCGACCAATCCTCAAATTCAATCTCGCTCACCGCTTCCCTGCTCTCAAAAGACGCCCATCCCATGTCTCCTTGTACTCCCTGGTTTGGCGTTTTGCAATGTGCCCCCAAAGCCAGCCTACCTACTCCGCGCTGTTTTATTTCTAGCCTTGCATGCACTTCGGATTTCATCCATAGCACTGCGTTTCCAAAAGTCAAGCCAGGCATCATGACCCCTTTCCAAATCTCTCTCACCACCTCATACCTGTTGTAACTCCAAAGTGCTCTATTTTTCATTACAGCTGCATTTCTGTTGCCCTTACCTGTTATATACTTTTCATGCTCACTGAGATATTCTGCACCGTCACATATCCATACTCCTAGATACTTGTATTTACTAGCTCTCTCAACTATAATATTCTGTATCTTCAGCCTCTCAACTTCATCCTCGTTAAAAATCATGACTGCCGATTTTTCGCTACTGAATTCTAAACCTAATTCCTCTCCTTCCCTACCACAGATGCTCATGAATTCCTGCAACTCTGTCCCGTTGTTAGCCATTAGTACAATATCATCCGCATACATCAATCCCGGTAAGGATTGCTGAATTTTTTGGCCTAGCTTACTGTAAGAAAGGTTGAACCCAAGCCCACTCTTCTCTAGTCCATTCTCCAATCCTCTCAGATACAACATAAACAGCAAAGGCGATAACTGGCACCCCTGCCTAAGGCCTCGTCTTATCTCTATTTTCCCTGTCGCATTTCCTTCCCATGTTATAATCACCTTGTTATCTTTGTAAATGTTTCTTAATAGTGCTGTTAGTCCTTCATCTAGGTTTAAGTTCTCCATTATGTCCCACAGGTTTCTTTGGTTCACATTGTCATAGGCACCCTTGATATCCAGAAATGCCAGCCAGAGCTGTCTGTTTTCTTTTTGCGCTATTTCTATACACTGTGTTAGAGAAAATAAATTGTCCTCCAACCTTCTTTGTTTTCGAAACCCGTTCTGTAACTCGCCCAGTATGCCCTCGCAATCTACCCATTCCTCCAGTCTGTTCTTTATAATCTGCATTACCAACCTGTAAATAACCGGTGTCACGGTTATAGGACGATAATTCCTAATATCAGACTTATCTCCCTTTCCCTTATATATCATACTCATCCTTCTAAGCCTCCATTCATCTGGAATATTTCCTTTTGTTATCATGGTACTCACTACCTCCCTTAGTTTTGCCTTAGATTTAGGACCCAAATTCTTCACCAGCTTGATAGGGATACCATCTGTGCCTGTCGACGTGCCACTAGGGACTCTTCGTTCCGCCTTTTCCCATTCTCTTTGTCACAAACTGGACTGCTGCTTCCTTCGGTTCTCCTATCTTCCACATGCAACCGGTCCCGAAATTTCTCCTCCATCACTGCTCCTATATATTGTATCGCATCATCTCCCTCTAATTGATCTCCCTGATGCGAGAGTATGAACCTCTGTCTAGCTTGCGTTGTTTCACCGAGTGAGTTCAAGTGCTCCCAAAACTTCTTGGCAGCGTTTCTATCTTTCTTACTTACATTAGTCATCCATTCCTCACCCTTTCTCTGAATTTTCGCATTGATCAAACTGGATGCCTCTCGGCGACATGTTATAAAATTGTCCCATTTTCTTTTTACTTCCGTTTCGGATTCCCCACTACGCTTGGAATACCTGTGTTCTCTAGAGGCTTCCTGGCGTTTTTGTACCGCTTGCTTCACTTCTTTGTCCCACCAACTTTTTGGTCTATGTCCTTGCTTCCCCTTTCGTTTACTCTTAACTTTGTTTAGTTCTGGAGCAAAAAGCCTAGTTAGGCTCTCATAGGTCCAATCTGTATGCCGTTGCCCTGAAACTGCTGCCTCTATTCTTTCAACAACTATTTCCAACTCTTTGTCGCTGCAGAAAGTTTGCTTTGAATTATGTTGTCTAGTTTCAGCATTTACTTCTCTGGCAAAATTCAGCTTAATACGTTTGTGATCACTACCAAGACTTTTGGAACCTTCTTCATCTATTTTTATTACTTGTAACTTACTATATATTTTGTGTGACATGAGTACGTAGTCTATAGTTGAATGTATATTGCCAGTTTCTCACGTTATGCGCCCGTCACACTTCTGACTGGTATTACATAAAATTAAGTCATGTTTTCCCACCAGTTCTAGTAATATGCTTCCAGTGGAGTCCGTATACCCATCCAGACCCTCGATATGGGCCCATTCATGTCTCCCATAATAATTATTTCAGAACCTTCCCCTAGCTCTCTAATGTCTCTTGATATGCAATCAATCATTTTTCTGTTTTCCTCTTTAGCACCTGTCCCTGTTCATAAGTAAACAACTCCAAGGACTGCGGGTTCCCCAGCGACTGTTCCTTTCAGCCACAAATGTTCAGCGCACTGCTTTCTGATCCTTTGAAAGTTCATATTCTTCTTAATAAATGCTCCAATCCCACCTCCCTTCCTCGTTTCCCCCACTCTATTGCATTGTTCCCACGGCACCATGACAGAACAGCACACGACATAACAGCACGCGACAAAACAGCGCGGTCAAAACAGCACGCGTCAAAACAGCACAGCGTCAAAACAGCACGGCGACAAAACAGCACGCGTCAAAATAGCATGCGACAAAACAGCAGAGCGTCAAAACGGCACAGCGACAGAAGAGCACGTGCCAAAATAGCACGACGTCAAAACAGCACAGCGTCAGAACAGCCCAGCAACAAAACAGCACAACGTCAAAACATGACATTGACAATATAGCTAGGGTTCGGCGTTTTAGGTTTGTATTATTTGAAATTCCGCGCACTATTTTTTTTGGTTTTTATTCCAAACAAAAGTTTTCAGTTTATTGCGGTGAATATTTGTAGACTCATAAACTTCTCAGTTATATTAGGTTTATTGACGAAAATCAGTATACCAACGAAAATGCAATAATTAAAAGCGTTTGTGTAAAATGTATATTGAGTACCAGGTACTGGTCTTCTTATTTGTTGCCGTCTTTGGCAGCCGACGCGACCTGTTCTATAAAATGCACTGGGGCCTCATTGTATCTGTCATTATCGTCGTGTGCTCGTATTTGTACACAGGACGAAAATGAGCTTCAGTACCACTACGGTCGAAGAGGCAAATATCAAAATGGAGAAATGAGCAAGCCTTGCACTTGGTGCGTTTTCCCCCATTTTCACGACTGCGAGAGGTGACAAATTCGCGCCGACGGCAGAAATGAGAATAAAACACTCGTATTTATGCCCTCCTCTAGTAGACGGAAGCTAGGGGTGCTAAACAATGCGCGGCATTTACGGACGCTCTTGATTTCCGTTGTTTGACTTCACGATTAAGCTCTCTTCATTTAACAAAGAATTCGGCACAAATC